TTAATCTTTTATTTATTTAGTCATTATTATTTATTTATTTGGATTTTTAACTATCATATTTTTCAAAAAGCTTGGACAATTTGCCTTTTTTTCCAGTGCAGTTTTTATATATAATTTCTTGAAATATAACTCTGAAAACATAGGTTTTAAAAAAGTCCATTGTATTTTAAATGGGGCTACTGCATTAGTCTTTTAACCCAAATCACTCTGGCTTTCACTGCATGGCCAATAGTAGCTCCCAGCCCAAGCCTCTAGCCCATTGTTTAGATTTTAATGGACTAGAATAAATAGCAATTGTTTTCTATTCTAGCCAGAAACTTTAGGGGTCTTTCCCTCCTAGATTGATAATTTTGTGATGATAAATTAGGCCATCTTTTGTCTCACTTCTTAACCAGCCTTTAGTTATTGAATGGGCTTCCTCAGAGGAACTGAAACCTGGGAAATACCTTAATTTAGAAAGGCCAAGGTCACCCACTGCATCCTCGCCATCACCAGTCATCTTGACTTTGTCTTGCCACTGGACTTCGATGACTCTGCCTCACTTAAATCCAATTCATGCAAGTCAAAACATGAAGGAAGGATGAATAACAGGTACTAAAGGGGAAGTGCCATACCATGTACTAAATCTGGTACTCCCAACTTTTCAAGTCTTCCTCATTCTATTCTCCTCAAATTAAAAAAAAATTGATGTGACTTTTTTATAAATAGGTCATATATCCACTTGTAGGTTATTGTGGAAAATGAGATAAAAAGTTGGTCTAAATCTATTTTCTGCCAAATCATTTTCTCAATTTCCTAGCACTTATATCTGAATAAGCACTTATATCCCCCTAGTATTTTACATTCTTGGGGTTGTGAAACATCAGGCTGCTTTCCAGTATTTATTTGCTTCTAGGTCTTATTGTTATAATGGTGGGAATTGATAGAGGCAGCCAACCAAATCCTCATACTACATTTAAAGTAACTGACTCAGCTATGTCTTTGTCAGGTGAAAACATTTCAAATGAATCAATCAATCAATCAAAAGTGTGAACAAATGGAAACAAGTCACACTTTCCCTTTGTACCCTCAATGTGCTGGTAGGACACTGTATCATAGATTTTTTTTATTCAATTTTATTTTATTTTTCAGGTTTCATTATAGATTTCTGGGAGTATATTTTGAATACTGATTATAGCAACTCTACCATGTTAGTAAATAACTTTCTAAAAGCTAATTAAGTCTGACTGGCTAATTGATATTAACTGGTAGAGAATAAAGGAAGGAAGCACACTAATGGGGTCTTGTGAGTTACAGTATTAGAAAACTACCCTCCCACTCCACAGGACTACTCCCAGACTCTGAGGGAAGATGTGTTTAGGGGATCACACCTACCATTGAAAGTGGAGGTTGGGAGAGTAGCTCCAGACTCCAGAAAACATTCTAAACTTATTTTTGTATGTGTGTTCCTCTTAGCCATGTGATCTCAAGAAAGTCTTTTTAAATCTCTTTAAGACTCAGTTTCTTTTTTTATTTAAAATTTTTTAAATTATGAACTTAATTATCAGCAAACATAAACATTTCAGTATTGAAAAAACAAAAAAGGATTGTATGTGATTTTCTATGATTTTATGAAAACTATGATTTTCTGTTATATTCTTAATTATGTATTAATTTTAATATAATAGTAACAAAATTTCCCTGTTTGCTTGTGTCCGTTTTTGAACTTCTTTTTATTTGCTTGTGTGTGTTTCTTATTGTTTTACTGACAGGTTTTTCTTCTTATCTTTATTTTTTGGGGGGCATCTCTTTTACTACCCTCAAATTCAGTGGTCTCCAAAATGGGGACTTAAGGTGGGGGGGGGTCATGGTTTATAGTTCATGTGTTCCCAAAGTGGACAATACCTTCCACTGGGGGTGCTGGAACAATTCATGGGGTGCAATAGTAGCCTCAAATGTAATTGGGGGGCATTGAATAAAAATAAGGGGGTGGTGGAAGCATAAGGAAAGAAGAGAAGAAAATTTTGAAAAGCCATTGATACATGTTTCATCTGTTGTGTAAAACTAGTAGTGATTACATTATTTTACAAATAAACACACAAAATGCAAATTATAACTTATCAGTAGTGAAGTTCCCCACAGGTCTTAACAAGCAAGTCTTGCATTGTCAGGAAGTCCAGCATACATGGGCAGGAATATATGTGTTTAATAACTTGCTTACACTATGATACAGAGGTTTATATGACACAATATTGCATTATCAAAATTTAAATGCAGGGAAAAAGCCACAAATTTACAATAAATTATTAAATTTAAGATGCATCATTTAAAAAAAAATTTTTTTAAGACAATTTTTTTTAAATCCCTTAAAGGGTTAAAGAAAGTAAATTTCCAGGGGGGTGTAAGTAATTTTTTTTTGCAAAGCAGGCTGTAGGCCAAATAAGTTTGGGAACCTCTGGCTTGTACTAAAGGAGCATAGCTTGACCCCAAGGGGTTTGTGATCAACCGATCAGAATGCATCACACTCTCCCCATAAATCAAATTTATTTGAAACACAACTATACCTACTCTTATCTCCCAAAGTTCCCCCACTCTGCCCCTCCTTCTTCAATGCAATCTCCCAGGCTCTGTTTCCCCACCCACCACCTCAGAACATTTATAACCTAACTGCTCCTTGAGCATCTACAATAGCAGCTGGAAGGTGTCTTTGGGAAAATTCCACCCTCTCTCAGGACTTTAATTTTCTCACCTGAAAAATGAAGGGATTGAACATGATGATCTTCAAAATCCATTTCTATACCTAAGCTCCATTATGGGGAGGCAGTGTGATGCAGTGACAAGAACACTGGATATAGTATTAAAAGGCTTGGGTTCAAATCCCAGTTTCACCACTCACTACTTAGAAGACCTTGGGTAAATCGCTTAATTTCTCTGGGCTTCAGTTTCCCCATCTCTAAAACTAAGGGGTTGGGCAGGATGATTTCTTTCAGCTCTAAATCAAAGAACCTATGGGGTCTAAGCACCATAGATTACAGTGTGTCACATGATATAAAGAGAGCAAGAGATGTAAAAAACCTTGTAGTAATATATGACCCCATGCTATCATTCTAAGTAGAGGAACTATGGGGGATACAAAGAAGTATAAACCATAGGGATTTAAATAAAATTCAAACTCCTTGAGGCAAGGGACTAGGTACCATCCCCTTTTGTTTTCTCCTTAGCGGAAAGTTAGCTCCTGACTAGAAGGTCTTCAGTAGTTGGATCAATGGCTTCATTGTTCTTCCTCTCCCAAGCCTACACTTAGAGAGACCTTCTCTCAGATACACATAAAGATACAAATCTGGAGGAGGTTGATAAGCAGAGTGGGAAAGAGGGAGAGAAAGAAACGAAAGGAGGAGTGTCAGTTCTAGTAAGCGCTTTGCTGCCCAGGCAATTCAGGTAAGTTTGGGGATGCAGTTTGATACACCTATAAGCTGTTAAATTCACTCAGAAGATGCTGAGAAATGCCTTTATCCCCCTGTGAATATGAACTTGTTCTAAACTGTTCCTTGCTACCTAGAGTCTAGATGGTCATGACTGGGTCAGGTGTATAACTGCCACAAGATGCTCACAGGACAACTTGTCTGGCTTCTTTGTTCTAGAGCTTCTCAAGAAAGCTGCCCAGTAGGATGGCATAGGTGGGTAAATAGGAATGTTAGAAGAGACTGTGTTTTCATTTAGCAAGGTCAAGCTAAGATAAAGTCTTAGCCCCATGGAAGGACATACGTAACACGTGGCAAAGAAAAAAGGTTTTTACAGGTCGGACCAATATACTACTATTTTGGTTCTACCTCTAACCAGTGGGGAGTGGACTCAGATCATCTGATGTCAGTGTCTATTTTAGGAGTCAAGGACAAATTAGACATAGATTCATGGTGATAGAAGAAGCCCATGAAAGAAACTATGCCATGCCTAAAGGGAACATCCTGAGTACCCCACAAATAGAAGGGAAGGACTTCTAGCAACCAAGAGCTGTGAGTAAACCCTTTGATATATGTTCTCTCTGAGCTTAAGTCTACTTTCCACAGGATTCTACATGTATTTGTGGTACAGTATGTTATAGACTTCTGGGAGGTGGGGGTGGGGAAGGGGAAGATGTTTTATACCAGTTGTTCTCATATACCACTTTAGCAAATATCTCTTTCTAAAAATTCCTTAAGGCTGGCTCACTAAAATGATTCTCAACTGATATTCTTGGGATGTAGTACACCAGTGGGGGCTCAAGCTGATGGCATTAGAGAATCAGTTCCACCTCCTTTGGAGCAGCCCTTAGTACCCTGAGGAAGAGGAATAACCTTGCTTCAAGAACTGAGACTTGACTGTGAGAGTGGAAGTTGTGATAAAGATCCGCAGAACTTCTAACAGCTACATGATCATTATCAACAATATCTACTAAGCTCCTATAGAGTGATGGAATGTAGGTCAAACTCACTGAACTTCAACTTTTGTGCTCTTTTCAATAAGCTGTGCTGCTTGCTTTAGTTTGGTGACTTCAGACAAATCATTTTGCCTCTCTGCACCTCATTTCCTTCATCTCCCCAATGAGGAAGTGGAACTTCTTGATCTATCTCTGAAATTCCTTCCAGATTTAAATTTTATGATTCTAAACTTTTGCTTTCCTTCATCCCACCTTTACCTCAACCCTAGTGTCTGATAGAGTACTGAGAACAGAGTAAATGCTTTAAAGAACAAAACTGCCCATTGGTCCTGATTGAACTGAGACCACATAGAAAGAAAAGAAAACCAAAATGACATTTGAAAGTCTCTGTCTCTGACTATTGGTCTCTCCCTCTGCTCTCTCAGAAAGAATGTTTCTGGGTTTGGAGTCAGAAGACTTAGCTTGAATTCTGACTTTAAAGTCACTTAACTTCTCTGGACCCCAATTTCCTCAACCATAAAGTAAAAGGTTGGACAAGATGATCTTCTAAAAGTCCCTTCCAGTTGCGAGCTCTTCTTATTCTTTAATTATAGCCACAGGGAAAACGGAGCACCCTCTTCTGACACAGGAGTGAAGAAGGACGTGACATCAAAATCTCTAACTACATAAATATGATAGTGACTATCTCAGAAAAGTGCACTGCCATGGATGCCTCATGACCCTGAAGGTAAGAGATTATTTAGTACAGAGATAAACATATCATCACCTAGGGTTCTCTAGGGCAAAGGCAATGATGCCAATTGTCCCATTCCACTCTTTGTCCACTTGGCTACAAATGGGCAGCAATTCAGGTATATACTCAAGGGAAACAGAGGAGGGTAGTTCTTTCCCACCGTTTTGCTGGTAAATGATAACTGCTCACGGGGTGGGAGGGTAGGGGATATATACATGATGTACTTTTAAGCTTAACTGGCATTATTAACATTATCTGCATTATTCACATTTTCTCCATCTTTCCCAAGTCTAGATAATCAACAAAATAATAAATCAAGCCCTGGTTTGTAACTTTGAGGATATCTGAGGTGCTCACTCTGAAAATTTAATAATCACTTCTCTGGAAGCCAGTAGCTGCCTCCAGCACTCCTGCCCTACTCTTCCACAGCCCAGCTCTTCCCTTTCATACCCCTCTCAGGCTGCAAGTTTCCCACCTGTAACTTCTTTTACTCTTTCAAAGCTTCCCGTATGTCCTTTTTAACTAGATTTCATTGGTATAAAAAGGTTGGGGGGTGAGAAGCAATAGCCATTGAGGAGGTTTGGCCCAGGGCCCCAGGACTCCTCCAAGTCTGGCCCTGCCGATTACTCTCCCAGGAGGGGAAGTCCCTAGGGAACCATTTTGCTCTCTTTTTATGTTAATTAGTTAACTAGAATTTGTAGTACCCGACAGTGAGTCAGTGTACCAAGTGTGTTGGGAAATGAGCAGGTCAAAAGCAGGATATTCAGTTGTAGGTCTCAGGGAACTTAAGGTCTGTTTGAAGAAACTGATGTGTATAGATGGAGAACAGAAACTGATGTTAATTCATTTTATTAAAACTTACTTTGATGGCTAGATCTGTAATTTTAACAACTGGAGGTTACTCCCACCACCTACTCAGATCAGACTACCACCCAAGAAGTATTAGTCTTATCCCCTCCGGAAGATCTGATTCAATTCAATTCAACAAAAAACTATTAAGCACCTACTATGTGCAAGGATCTACCTGGTAAACTGGAGAGCTCCTTCTCCTTTCAACATCCTAGGGCTATCATTTTAGTATTGTAGCTGTCTATCAGTTGATTCTCAGTGCTGAGAAGGATATAGAATAAAGTCCTGATAAGAATAGAATTCCCCGTGAAGAAATGGACTGGTAGATGAGTGTCTTTTTAAACTACTGACACAAATTCAGGAGAGGAAGCTTGCTGCAGTGGACAATGGCCCAGATTTGGGATCAGGAAGTCTTAGTCTAAGTCTTGCCTCAGACATGTACTAACTATGTGGCCCTGGGCAAACCAGTTAGCCTCTCATTACCCCAGGCAACTCTCTGAGACTAAGCTATCGAAGATTTGTTGATCTTCATCAGCGAAGGGAGTTCCCACAATGGGAGTTCCCCTACACCAATGGAATTAAAGTTCTGAAACAATAAAGAAAACCAGTTGCCCTATTTTTCTTATCTAAATCTTTGAGAGGGGAGATCCCAGGGGAAATGAAAGAAGTCTCTTCACAGCAAATGCCCACAATCCACTTCATGAATCTCATAGATAGAGGGCTAGCAAAAACCTCAGAGTTATCTAGTCCAACCCCATCATTTCACAGATGAGGAAACCAAAGCCCAGGGAGTTTCAATGATTTGTCAGTGGTGAGTATCAGCAGTGGGATCTGAACTCAGGCTCTTGGTATTCTTGACTTCTCAGATGGCTAAGCACCTAAAGGGTGAAAGGAAGGTAGTAAATTTTCATGTCCATTCTCATCACGTCAGTGAATGAGCATTTATTAAGTGCCAATTGTGTGGAGGCTGTGGAGGCACAAAGAAAGGTAAAGGACAATCCCTGTGAACTCCTGAGGAGCTCACAATCTAATGGGGGAGGTTTGCTAGGTGACCTTCTCTAAGTCACTCCACTTGTTAGAGCCTCAGTTTTCTCATCTGTATACCTTGGACTCATAATACTAAACTAATAACTTGGTGTCTAGAGGAGCTTTGTGAAAGAATACTTGAGGACTTCAAAAAGAACAGTGACTTTATCCATGGGGTACTCCCTCCAACCTGACATATCCCAATGCTCCCTGCCTGAGAAGTCTTCATGGCCAAGAAAATTTACCATCTGGTAACCAGTCTTGATGATGAGCCTCTCCCAACTTAGGAGGGTTGACCTACAGAGGACAGAAAAACATAGAATTTACTGACAGGTCACTACTCAAAGTTTTTTCATCTTCCCAGACTTACCAAAGCTTGCACTTGGCCACCTCCATAAAACAATGAGGTGTCAAAATAGAACTTTAATGGAGACTATGTGGAGAAAACAAAAAGTTGTGGTCCAAGTTGTGGTCTAGGGGTGCTGGGAACCCTGGAATTCAAGGGCAAAAGGCACCCTGCCTTGAAAGAATTCGACCACTCAAGCTTTCTTTCAGTCAGAAACGAGGTTTATTGTATCGCCAATGGAAGCAGGCCAGATTTCAAGAACTTGCACAGTTGGTAGATGAGACTGACCTTTTTTTATAGGGAGAAAAAAGATTGTGGGAAGATTTGGATGGGATCAAGAAGTGGCTAATAGACTGGAGTGATCCAGAGGTAACAGAGAAGAGGTCTAGGTGGGATTAAGGGTAGGAAATAGTCTGGCCTTGGTCCAGAGGTAATAGACAATACAGGGCTGGGTTGGGTTAGAGGTAACAGAATTGAAGGTCAGAGTCACAATGAAAGGACAGGTGAAAGAATTATTCTGGAATCAGCAGATGCCTCAGGCAAATGCCAGGAACTGGGCCATGTGGGAAAGTTTAGGGGCTTTTCCTTTTTGGGGTTCAGATCCCAAAGGCATGGCCTTTTCCTTTTAGGAGTTCAAATCCCAACCCATCAGTCCAGACCTATGATTTCATGGTATAAGAATTGTCAGTGTGGGAATTCCTATATCTGATGGCAGCTCACCTGTGTGTGTGACTTCTAGTTTAGAGAATTGTTTGGGACACTAACTGGCCCAGGGTCACACAGCAGGTATGTGCCAGAGACAGGCCTGAACTCAAGCCTTCTGGTCCCCAAGGCCAAAGCTCCAGCCCCAAAGCCAGGCAACCTCTCTGGATTAAATGAAATCATTAAGAAGAACTAGAGATCCGGTTCAGCTCTTGACAAATATGCAAGGGGAGAGGGGTAAATAAGAACAGGATAATGTCGACATTTCCACTGTGTGAATTCTGTGACTAATGCTAGAAGGCCTGCATGGTCTGTCTCTCTACTGAAAGACCTGCAACCACTTAACTGCCTTATATATCTACAGAGGGTGTTGAGTAGTGGTTAAGCCTTATAAGGGCTGGACTATTTCGCTGGCAATATGTTTTTTAAAATTCTGGGATGGTGGATGGTGAACTAAAAATGCCCATTTCTTGGCTCCAATTCATTTCTTCTGAATTTGTTCTGGTTGATGGGGAGACAGACATTTCCTTTTGGAGCATGGCTATAGCTAGGGAAAGCACACCTGGAGAAGCTCTATTTGTTATGTTTTGTTTTCAAAGAGGTGCTGGGTGCTCAGTTCTGGACCAGATTTGCATGATGCACGGCTTGCCTGAGGCAAAACTGTGAAATGTTTGGTAGCATTCCACTTCCCTTTTAGGGCCCCTCTCTAGTCCAATTTCCCACCCCACCCCCTTCTCCCTTTTCTTTCTCTCCATACACAACTGGAACGTGGTGTTAGCACAGTGGTTCCCAATCTCTTTAAGTATGAGGACTCTCTTTCAATCAAACTCCACAAAATATTGCAATCTTACTATTGCTTGATTGAGAAAAGACCACTGAGAATTCAGGAGTGCTTTTAAGTGCATTTGTGTTTTATTCATCTCGACAGTATCAACAGGCATCTGCAAATAGAAATACACATATGTGCCAGGCATATTTATTCAGCTGACAGAAGGTATGTTTGCTTTCTTACTATACCGACTCCCATTTGTGTGTGCATGTGCTAATGTAAGTCAAGAGCAAGGCCCATAGCTGGAGGACCACTACATAACCACAGGTGTTATCCTTGCTAAGTGTACTTATACTTTATAAGATTGTCAAAAACCCAAACCCTTTACGTTTTTGAGAAACGAACTTCTAATGGTGCTAAGTTGACAAGGAAGATATTTAGAATGGGGAGAAATCTCTGAAGATCTTTAAATCTTAAGATCATTAAATTTGATTTAGAAGGGACTTTGGAGGTGAGTTAGCACAGTCCCCTCAGTAGAAGCCAGGGGTTAAATGGGTTGCCCTACATAATACAGGTAGTAAGGTACACTCGTATCTTCCAGCTCTAAATCTAAATTATTTCTCCATCTACTTTCAGGTCAGACCATCAGTCTGCCCGGTGATTTTTTTGGAACCCCTAACCGTGGGGTCATAAAGTGAATTAAAAGGTACAATCCTGCATTGAACCCATACAGTACTTCTAAGAGTTGTACTTGGCAAAAAGCATACAAAAGATTTTTTAACTGGTCCTTGTTATCTAATCTCAGTTCAACAGAGAACACAGATGGCAGCTTATTAGACCTCGAAGTCATGAGGCTGAGGGCATCTGGCCCAACTTAGGAGCAAGAAGAATAATCAGGACACCCTTCCTGGTGGTACACACCCTTCTAGTAGTTCTGAAAATGAACATTTCTCTGAGTCATACCAGCTCTTCAGCTCTGAAAATAGCACCCTACGTGAAGTATGCAACTCATTCAGAAACCTGCAGGGTTAATGCCTTGACAACCAAGATGGTTTCGTTTGACTTCCCTTCAATTGGCTATGGAGCTTCTAATAGTACCCCTGTGCTCTGAGAGGAAAAGAGAACAGCCAAGATAAGTGGATGGACCCAAAGGAACCATAAATAGCATGTGTGTATGAGTCCAGGTCTGTTATTTCATCAGTGTAGAAATCTCCCAGGGTAGAAACTCCCTCATCCACTAATACAGATTGGCAACTTCCCTGCAATTTATAATTCTAGAAAGTTGCTTGGGCCACTGAAAGATTAAATGATTTGTCTATGGTCATAAAACCAGTTTATATCATTCAACATTCATTTAACAAGCATTTATGAAGACTAAATATGTATTAGATACTTCTAGGTGCCAGAGATACAGAGACAAAAATGAAACCGTCCCTGTCCTCAAGAAGCTTACATTCTTTTGTGGGAAACAATATAAACGCAGATAAGTAAATACAGTATATGTGTGTAATATATATGCACACATATATGTTTATATACATACACATTGTATATATTGTATATATAATACATATAGATTGTGTGTGTGTGTGTGTGTGTGTGTGTGTGTGTGTGTGTGTGTGTGTGTGTGTGTGTGTAGAGCTCCAGGCCTGAAGTCAGGAAGATTCATCTTCCTGTGTTCAAATCCAGCCTCAGACACTTATGTGCTATGCTTTAATACACTATCTTATTTAGTCTTTGCAGTAGCTCTATGAGGAAAGGTGTTATGAGTATTATTATTCTTATTTTACAGAAGAGGAAACTGAGGCTTGAGCAGTAAGGTGGTGCAGTGGATAGAGTACCAGGCTTGGAGTCTAAAAGACTCGTCTTCCCGTGTTCAATCCAGCCTCAGACGCTCACTAGCTGTGCGACCCTGGGCAAGTAAGTCACTTAACCCTGTTTGTCTTAGTTCCTCATCTGTAAAATGAGCTGCAGAAGGAAATGGCAAACCACTCCAATATCTTTGCCAAAGAAACCCCAAATAAGGCCACGAAGAGTTGGGCACAAAATGTCTGAACAATGATTGAATAACAACAAAATATATATGTGTGTATACACACAAAGACATAACACTCTAAGCGATTTGTATCTGGGGGTGAAGGGGGGTGGGGATTATAGTAACTATGGGGACCAGGTTAAGCCTTAGGTAGGACTTGGATTTGGGCTGAGCCTTGAAGGACTCTGAGGATTCTGAGAGGCTGAGGTGAGGAGAGAGGGCATTCCAGGCGTCGGGCACAGCCTGGACAAAGGCAGGGAAACAATAAATAGGATGATATGTATTGGGAAACAGCAAGTAAGCCCATTTGACTAGAACATAGACTGCAATGAAGGACAGCAATGTGCAGGAAGCATGGAAAGGTATGCTGGAGTAAGAACATGAGAGGCTTTAGATACCAAACAAAAGAATTAATATTTGTCTGAGGGGCAAGAGAGAGCTAGCAGCTGAACCTAAGTCCCAAGGTCTACTGTATCATCCTTATGAGTATGTGTGTCAGAAACACACACATGTGTGTATATATGTGTGTATATATACATACACTAACATGTTTGTATACATACACACACACACACACACACACATACACATGGGGCAGCTAGGTGGTTCAGTGGATAGAGTAATGTCTTGGAGTCAGGAAGAATCATCTTCCAGAGTTCAAATCTGGTCTCACACACTGACTAGCTGTGTGACCCTAGGCAAGTCATTTAACTCTGTTTGCCTCAGTTTTCTCATCTGTAAAATGAGCTGGAGAAGAAAATGGCAAACCACTCCAGTATCTTTACCAAGAAAACCCCAAATGAGGTCATAAAGAGTCAAATGTAACTGAAAAAAATGATTGAATATATAAATATATATATATATACATATATACACATACATGTATATACATCCATTCACATATATACACACAGAGCTGATGTTGCTGAGTGCTTAAAAAAATACGTTGTCACTGTCAGGGATTTAGTGATTCCAAAGAAGCTTTTTCCTCTGTCAATCATAAAAACATTTGATAGTTCCTTGCCTTCTCACACTTCCCTAAAAGCAGTGAATCCTCAGGCCCCCAATGGTGACTGACAAAGCCTCCTCAGTTGGGCTTTGCTGTTATCGCTGAGTCTTCTGCAAAAAAGGATCTTTGAAAATGTCTTTTCACAATCATTAGACTGTAAATTAATAGGGCAGATACACTTTTGGAAATCAAGGTTTACTCTCTCGACCCCTACTCTCACTCCCTAGATCAATATTTAATAAATGTTTGTTGACTTGAATTGAAAGCCGAAAGCCATCAAAGAATTTTTACTTCCTGGCAAGCTGCTTGCAACTTGGATATAGGGCAAAGGTGTCTGAAAGGAGATGAGAGATGCAAGAAGACTGTATGGCCGATACCAAGAGGTTGAGAAGGGGATTTCTAAGGATAGCTGTCCCAGGGAGTTAAGACCTTGACCCTTGTGAAGTTTTGAGGGCCCAGGCACCCGTGATCTGTTTTTTTGTTTGTTTGTTTTTTGTTATTTAGTTTGTTTGTTTGTTTGTTTTTTGCTAGGCAGTGGGGTTAAGTGACTTGGCCAGGGCCACACTGCTAGTTAAGTGTATTTTTTTGTTATTTTAAACCATTCTCCAAGCCCTGAGCAAGGAGCCTTGTGTCTACACTCAGCCTGGTGGCCTCCTTGGACCCCAGGTCCGAGGATTACTATATTAGAATTGGAAGGGGTCTTAGAGGTCTTCTAGTCCATCCCTTCACTTTGCAGGTAAGGAAACTGAGTCCCAGAGAAGTTAAATAGCCTGCCCAAGGTTTTTTTATGCCCGGATGTTTTAGAAGGAAGGTGTTTTAGAAGAAAAAAAGAATTACATCTACAAAAGAGCGAGCCTGAGAAGGCACTTCTGTAGAGGGGGCGTTTTGTTTGTTTTACGGTGCTGTACCGCTCTGGGGAACATTTCTGAGCCAGGTCCTAGGTATTCAGGGATGCTGCTCTTTACCACAGCTTTGGCAACATCCACTTGGTTGACTCTCTTGGGGAAGGTAACAATTAGTGCCAGGAAAGCAGCAGAGTAAACTAGCAAAAATGAATGTGTGTCTGCAGACATCTATATCCAAGTATTGGTATCTATAGCTATGTAAGAATGGTAGCAACACAGTATAGTGGATAGATTTCCAGAGTCAGGAAAACCTGCGTTCAAATCTGGCCCCAGACATTTACTAGTTGGGTGACCTTGGGCAAGTTACTAAACTGCTGTCTGCCTCAGTTTCCTCAACTGTAGAAAGAGGATAAAAGACATCTACCTCCCAAGGTTGTTGTGAGGATCATGTGAGAACATATTTGTAAAGTACTTTGCAAGCTTTTTCAGGTCTTTTAGAACTGGGAGAGGCTTTAGAAATCATTTAGTTCAGCCCCTTCATTTTACAGGCAAGGAAATAGAGGCAGGGAGAAGTTAGTGACTCAAAAGCAATGACACAGATAGTTAGCAGTAGGAATAAGATTTGAACCAAGGTCTTCTTACTACAAATCCAATGTTCTTTTCAGTACAACAGGCTCCGTCTCTCCCCAACTATTTACTTATACATATTCCACCAAGTTGCTACTCTCTGATATATCCTCAGAGGTACCAAAGAGGTATGGGGGTGAACTTTGGATCTCAAAGACTGTCCAGGGGATTGCAAGTTCCCAAACTATAATGGCTTCACATGCACAGCAAGAGATATGGGGTCTATCATCTGAGAACTAGCCAAGCAAAATGCTGGAAGCCTTATCACCAGAAGGATGACTATCAACGCATAGACTTACACAGCCAGAGGAACTCATGAAGACAGCTCACTGTGGAGTGGCAGAATTGTGATCCGTATTATTGAGCAAAGTACCAACACAGATGAAGTCAAGAAATATAGATGTTAAAGCTTGCAAAGTGCTTCATATATATCATCTCATTTGATACTCGTAGGTATGACTAGAAAGCAAGGGACTGGAGTACCCAACTGTGTGAAATGTTTAGAGGAGAGCGCACACTTGAGATGTCCATAATGATGGTGGCTAACATCCCATCCCAACTCTCACCCCCTCCACATGAAAGACCAGGACTGTTCTAGAAGATCTGGAAAATGATTCTCCAGCCCATCTTTCATACATAACTGAGCCTTGCAAGATTCGGGTCTCCAGTGTGGTTAGGGTCCTTGATTACACTTCAGATTCACTTCCTTCTCTCTCTTCCCCTCTGCCTTCTGCCACCAGCTGTCATTATTTTTCATTGAGTTAACCAAGCTTCCTGTGAGCCAACTCCCTCTGCATCTCACAGGTCTACTTTGCTGATGTTTTGCTAAAATGCAAAGTGAAATCACTATCCCCAAGCAAAGATCTCTATATCCACCCATCCCTACGCCACTCCACCCCATCCCCAACATTGACAGGCAAAGCTCTCTAGAGTTAAGCACTTGACTTCATTGCATGGAAAGCTTCTTTTAAAAAACTATTTTTTTGGTAGGGGTGGGGGGGTGGGGTGGAAATATAATGTGATCTTGCTTCCAAATGGCGTTCCAAAGCCCTCTGGGTCTGTGCGGAGTAATCCCTCAGCTGGAAAATGAAGCAAAGTTGCTATTTTTGCATGGCACCAGGGCCTCAGCCTCCTAGTTCAGCCAAAGTCTCAGTACTGCTTTCTGGCAATGGAGACTGACTCAGTGAGAAGCAAAGTGTGCAGCTCCATGCGGGCCCAAGAGAAATGCCGCAGGGGGAGAAACCAGAAGAAAACAGAACAGAAGGGCCCGCTCTCCTCTTCTCATTCTCTCCCTTCCCAGCCACTGACCCAGGATTATTCTTCTCCCTCCTGTTCAGCTGAACTTCTAACCTGCCTAAGTAGAGACACATCTGCTGTTTCTGACCTCTCCCCCCCACCCCCTCTTCTAATTGCTTTCTGATGAAGACAGAATGTAGTTTTGTTGTAACTCT